ATGTCTATTACTTTTAACTTTGCAACCTGTTATAAGATATTACAAAGGAATTGAGTTTTTACCACAAACTAAAAAAGGTTTAATGCCTATATATTTGCAACCTGATGGGGTAAACCTTCAAAATTTCAAACTTTGAATTTTGGATCTAATAGAATTTAGTGCTTGAAATAGCAATGGTCTAAAAAAACATCGGGTTTCAGAGATATTGGGATTAGAAAATCAAAGGTTGTGACAAAAACTCAATTCCTTTTAAAACTGTTATTTAGCAGAATTTTTAGTTTCAATTATAAAAGAATATACGAAATCAGATTGCAAAGATACAGGATTTAAAGACTGGAGTGTGAGGCGAGTGGTTGGATTTTTTATTGTACTTTGGTACGTGAATCAAAATCAACATCTAGCCAGATAATTTACTAAACTGTGTATACAATGTTTACACCCAGATATGTTAATTTTAGCACTGATGCTAGTCAACCAATCTTCAACTCCTCTCCAGACAGTAAAAGCTTTTTACAAACAAGGTGTGGAAAAATGAATGAGTAAAGAATGAATGAGTAAAGAATGAATGAGTAAAGAATGAATGAGTAAAGAATGAATGAGCAAAGGATGAATGAGTAAAGGAAGAATGAGTAAAGAATGAATGAGTAAAGGCAGAATGAGTAAAGAATAAATGAGTAAAGAATGAATGACTAAAGGATGAATGAGTAAAGAATGAATGAGTAAAGGATGAATTAGTAAAGAATGAATGAGTAAAGGATGAATGAGTAAAGAAATGAATGAGAAAAGGATGAATGAGTAAAGGATGAATGAGTAAAGAATGAATGAGTAAAGAATGAATGAGTAAAGGATGAATGAGTAAAGACCCCCTGAATACGCCTCTGGATACACAACTAATGAAATCTCAACCTAAACATTTAAACACCTAATTGATGTTTCAAAAAGAAGCAATGAACATTAACTAAATAATGAATGAATTTTAAAACAATTTAAAAATCAATATTTCTAAAAAAATATAATAGCTTATAAATTACAATTGAACAGTTTCAACAACATAAACATTCAAAAAACAATGATGTGAAATTAAGCATCTTTTTTCGAATTGTGCTATGAATTGTTTTGGGTTTTTAAATGAAAACGTTATAACTACACCAACAAATCTATTTGTGACCTTAAATGGACCAAATGGGGATTTTTGGGTGGACATTAGAAAAGGTCAATTTTTAAAAAAAATTTCGGAATCAAATTTTTATTTTTTTTTTTAAATTTTCATACAAATACATCCTTTACACTTTAGGCTAAAAAATGGGCTTTCATACCTACAGCTTGAGTCCTCAAGCATATTTTTTAGGAACAAAAAATCGCGTCTTGTGCGAAATTTTTTTTTGACTTAAAAGACTCAAAAAGAGTCAAAATTAATGACTAAAGACTAAAAAACTAGCTTTTTAACTTTTCACACATTACAGTTTATTAAGACAAATATTTTTCATGTTTTGCACTAGGGTTTCTTTCCCTTAAGCATGCTATTGAGAAGCTATTCTGAAAATAGGAACAAAAAATTCCAAATTCAGGGGGGCGAATGTTCCCTCGCCCCCCCCCTGTATTCGCCCCTGAAACTTAGATCTACTTCCAGTCACCATATTTTAGCATTTTATAGCTCTCTGGAAAGCCATTATCAAAAGAAAGCAGATCGCACAATTTCTGAAAAGAAATTTTACGTTGATTTTTGCACAGACGCCAATTTGCACAATTTTAGTTTTTCTTGAATACACATTTAGGTTTTTGCAAATTTGAATTCTCTGGTCAAGGACTTTTAAAAAATGTATAATTTGTTTGGATACCGTGACCCCCTCCCCCCCCCCGTCTATTTTGGGTAAACCAGACTTTAGTCGTAATAGGGTTAATTGTTTCAACCTGATTTGTATGGAGCATAACAATTTTAACAACTTTGAGAAAAGAATTTTTTCTGCAAAATAAATTTAAGGAGGACGAATTGGACTTTCAAAAAAATTTTTTTTTTTTAAATAATAAAAAAAATTGTTAAGAACATATATGGGTATCTTAAGATCCGCCTATGGCCGATAATTGTACGGCACATTTTTAGATTTTCGTTATTTAAAAGTTTTCGCCGCCACCTTTTTTGTTTATGATCTGAGTTTTACGGTTACACCGTTTTGAATTCTACGTTCCAATACGAATCTTTTGATACCATTGAAGTCGTATTTTTCGCTTGCGTTAGTCTCGTTGATCAATCGCTTTAAAAATCCGTTTTCGTCTATATTATCGACTTTGTGGGCATGCAGAGTTTTAAATAGGTAATTTTTATAAATTTCAAAATAAAAACCAGAAAATACCGGACAATAATAAATTTCCCAGAAATGTGAAAATAATATTTACTTGACTTAATTTATTTGGTTTTGATAATTATTTATGCTAAATTAAGAAAAATTATTTACAAAATAGAGTGGCACATCGCGCCGTACGTAGACATTTTAAAAAATCTTTTAATAAAACATCCAATATTTAAAAATTATATGCTGTTAAAGTTGACTCTTATTCAACTTTACCCCAAGATCAAAAGCTGAATAACAAATCATTTTTGATATATTTTGCATATATTTTTTCTCAGTGTCAAAATTAGGCAAATGTTTAAAATAAACAAAATAGTTTAAAACAAAAATCCTCAAAAAACCTTCAAAAGCAAACCAACATATTGCACATCAAGCGTATAAAGGTTTCCTCAGATAGGAAATTGAATTCTTATTTCCTACCGCTGAAGAATTGTGAGGATGAAAAGGAAGGATGATTGCTTAGAGAATATTGACATTTCTGTAGATACATATTCTTCCAAACTTGTCCTCTAAAAACCTCATATTTTACGTTCATCTCCTCTCCCCCCCATTTTCCTGTAATTTTGTACCCCCCCCCCCCNTAATATACAGGTTTACCCACAAAGAATGAGACTGTTCAGACAACATGAAACTGTTATATGACAATCCCATGCAAGGTTAAGTGAAGCTGACTCGGATAAAGTCTTGAAATGACTGTTTAATTACGTGGGTAACCTTGGATGTATGAAAGGTTATTTTTTTACCTAAAACTCCAGGTATAACTCTATAAAAACGTTCTTTCCCTAAATCGTAAGTTTTCCCTTAAAAATTCCATATTTGTGAATTTAGTAAAAAGGACAAAAAACTGCATTTTAAAAGATATTTCAGAGTTACCTTATCCCTCCTCCCTGCAATCCTCCCCCTCTCACCCTTTCTTAAACTGCATCTTTTTAAGGTCTAGGTCATTCCCCCATCAATGCCTTGAATTCTGGGGAAAATTGCAAGATCTCCCATCCTTCATAACTCGGCCTGCATCAAAGCTGCACTTTTTTAATCTGTAACAGAAACCAGAAACTTTAAGCCTCCCTAACAGTGCAAAAGAAAACATTTAACCCTTTTGACCAGAAACCCATTCTTTTTTCACCTTTACCCTCCTTCTCCCTCTGCTCCCCTCTGCTCCCCCCCCCATCCTCCTCCTGCCCCCCTCAATCTACTAACAGGCAATTTCATTCATAATCAGGCATTTTTAAAAGTTTTCTTCAAAACAAATGTGTTGTTTAAATCAAATTAAATTTCTTTGTAAAACATCTCTTTATATTTCGTTATTTCGTAATAAGAAAAGAAAAAGATTTGTGATAAATAAATAAAAAAGAGCATTTAGGATGAATAATCGTCTAGGATGAATAAGGATCTAGAATGAATATCGATCTACGATGAATAAGGATCTACGATGAATATAGGCTCTAGGATGAATAATCGTCTAGGATGAATAAGGATCTAGAATGAATATCGATCAACGATGAATAAGGATCTACGATGAATATAGGCTCTAGAATGAACAAGAATCTAGGATGAATAAGGATCTAGGATGAATAAGGATATAGGATGAATAAGGATCTAGGATGAATAGGGATCTACGATGAATAAGGATCTAGGAAGAATAAGGATCGAGGATGAACAAGGATCTAGGATGAATAAGGATCTAGGATGAATAAGGATCTAGGATGAATAAGGATCTAGGATGAATAAGGATCTAGGTTAAATAAGGCTCTAGGATGAATAAGGATCTAGGATGAATAAGGATCTAGGATGAATAAGGATCTAGGATGAATAAGGATCTAGGATGAATAAGGATCTAGGATGAATAAGGATCTAGGATGAATAAGGATCATAAGGATCTAGGATGAATAAGGATCTAGGATAAATAAGGATCTAGGATAAATAAGGATCTAGGATGAACAAGGATCTAGGATGAACAAGGATCTAGGACGAATAAGGATCTAGGATTAAAGCTAAGAATAAGAATCCATAAATCATTATATTAAGACTTGTAAGAGGTTGAGTGATTATATCTAGATTGTATTCTAATAATATACAATAATACAATCTTGTTAGCTCAAGAGAGATAAATATTTTTTTTTAATTCACAGAGTTAGGTATTCAGTTTTTAATCATGTCTTTGTAAAATCAATTTTCTGCATTAATTAAGGCCTCACGCAGATGTCAAAGCATAAAACGGGTGTTTTAAAGAATTGAGTCTTTGTCATAGACTCTTATTTTCTAACCCTTATAACAACTTAATGTCTTGAACCTTTGATATTTTAAACAGTAAATTCAGGTAAGATCAAATTGCCTACTTTTAAAAATTAGAAGTGTCCAACATCTGCTTGTACAGATGTTCGGAATAGAAAATAAGAGTTTGTTGCAATAGACTCAATTCCTTGCCCAGCACTCATAGATTAAAGAACTGAAAATTTTATACAGTCTACTGCAATGTTTCATCATTTTTATGGTTAACCAAAAAGGTTAGATTTAAACTTTTTAGCTCATCTAGTATTAACTACACGTTTCAGGCCCACGTGCTTTCTTTTAACTGAAAAAACCGGTTTTGTTCTGAATGGTTGCAACATGAATGCACGCGGTCACTTCAACAGCATTCCACAGTAAGGAAAATTACAGTTTAAAAATTTATTGTTAAAAATTTTTAAAGAAGTACATAATTTTTCATCAAATATTTCTTCGTAAAGTCTCGGGCAAACCTAAAAAGAGAAAAAATTGGCTTTAAGATAATATTTAAATTAAGTTATTTCACATCAAATAATTCTAAGTTTTATTACCTAGAGAGTCCTCGAATTACCAGAGTTCTTGGTTGCGTCTCAGTGTATCAGTATAACTAAAAAAAAATATTATTTGTTAATTTAAATATATTTGCCAGCTTTGACAGTTCGAAAATACTCTTAAGTTATAACTGATTTGAAAAAAGGAAGGTTCATTTTAGCTTTGGGTGTGCATGAGAATAAAAAAACAATTGAAAAAATAGATCTTCTTTAAAATAAACAGAACACGATCAAAACCAAACAGCATATCTGCGATGACAAAATATGTGAATCCGGGAAAAAAAGATAGTCGTTTGAAAATCTACTAGCATCGGAGCAATATAAGTCTGTCCTACATTTCTCATTTATGATAAGTTATGATAGAGTTGCAAACGCAGGAAATCAATCATCCTTTATAAAATAAACTTCTCTCTGGAGGACCATATTAAAAACTATAAGAAGCCATTATCGCAAGTTACACGGAACTTACTAGACGGGTAAGCCAAATCAGAATTTGTTTTCCATTTTGTTTCCAACCCTTTATATGGTTATAATTTAGCAAATATCCAAATAGCAATTAAATAAGTATATTAAGACTTACTAATTGTTTTTAGGGTCGGCACCGTGGAAGGGTTCCCTGTTTTAAAGATTTTTTTTAAAATTTTCGTTACATTAAAAATTGGAAAGTTAAATAACATGCCAATGCAAGAAAAAAAAAGTTGAAATAATAAAATCTTTTCCTAAAAATAGGTCCAACGTGGTTTCCATAGCCTGGTCCGCCATACCCGGGTTTCCTATATCCATGTCCGCCGAAGACGGGTGTCCCGTATCCAGGTCCTCCATAGCCGGATTCTCCATATCCAGGTCCACTAATTCCAGATTTACCAAATCCAGGTCCACCATTTCCGTGGTTTCCGTAACCTGGTCCACTTAATCCAAATTTACCATATCCAGGTCCACCAAAGCCAGATTTCCCGTATTCAGGTCCGCCAAGTCCAGGCCCACCGACTCTGCGGTTTCCATATCCTTGTCCACCAAATCCGAATTTACCATATCCAGGCCCATCATGACCATAACCGGGATAGATAGGAAACCCATCACCTTGATAAAACGGATCAATATGATCTTTATAAACAATGTGATCATCTTTATCATCATGGTCATCATATTGGACATCGTGTTTCATTGAGAAAACCAGCTTATGATCATCATCAGACCTTAAAAGAAGATAATACATTTACACATTAATTTCACTTAAAGATCATTCATTTGGCGTACCGTCCTGGTTTGCCTTACATAGTCTGTTATTGTACTTTACAGCTTGGTCTAGCTGATTAATTGTACTGTACAGCTTGGTCTAGCTGATAAATTATACTGTACAGCTTGGTCTAGCTGATAAATTATACTGTACAGCTTGGTATAGCTGGTTAATTGTACTGTACAGCTTGGTCTAGCTGATTAATTATACTGTACAGCTTGGTCTAGCTGATAAATTATACTGTACAGCTTGGTATAGCTGGTTAATTGTACTGTACAGCCTGGTCTAGCTGATTAATTATACTGTACAGCTTGGTCTAGCTGATAAATTGTACTGTAGCTGACTAAAAGTAGGCCCAATACTTGAAATGAACCGGAGGTTACAGTGTCTGTGTGCATTGATAACCAGAAAACTGTAGAATAGGAAGACGTCATTAAATCAATCAATACTGTGCAATATTGTGCATTTGATGTTGTTTCTTAGCAAATAGCTATGTAAGTTGATTAATCACTTACCAAGTGAATTGGATCTGTTTACACTGCACAATTGGTGGGTCCCATGTTTATCAGACTATAATAAAGTCATAACTTAAGAGACTGTAAAGATAAAAGGACAGGGGATAAAACGGAGAATCTCAGGCGTTGAACGATGCCTATAAGAGTTCTATCTGATGTTCCGGTAACAAAACGTATATATGTAAGATTTTGTATAAGATTCGTAATATTAAACAGATCATATTAAGCAAATATGCAACCAATCTGAAAACACCGATATCCCAGAGAAGCCTGGGAAACTCGAGTTTGCTCCTATCATTATTTGAATTTAATAATTTCTTATTTTTAATAGATATAATTGATAATATTATGTATGCGTCCGGAACATGTCACCAGAACTCCAACCAATGGCAGTGCAATATTATTGTCACATGTCTCGTCTGTATCACGTGACCAGTATACTGCACTGCCATTGGAAGGGGTTCTGGTCACGTGATACGGGCATATATCTTATACATATATACATTTTAGTATAATTTTGACACAGCTTTATTTAAATTTCTCGAGTCAGGAATATAAGATTGAACTCTTATATGTCTCAATCAACTCCTGAGATTCTCAGGTTTCAGCCTATACCCCCTTCCTTTTTTCCTTTACAGTCCCTTTAAGTCTAAAAGTCAACTTCCTTATTCAAGAGACATAATATTAATCATCAGTTTAACTTACTTGACATGGGAAACGTTGACCAAAACCTGAAAAAACATAACTTTTAAAAAAGCACATTAAGAAATTAGATTAGGTTAGGTTAGGTTAGGAATCACAAATGCAAACAAATATTTATCAATACGTTAAAAAAACATATCAAACTTAGAAGATCAAAATTATGTGAAAATTTTATAAAACATGGAAAAATATTTCAAAACACTAAACAAAACCTACTTTCAAACCATCTAGATTTCTAAACACCCAATTATTGAAACATTGATCTAGTGCCGAACATCAAAACTTCACAACTGAATTTAATGAACTGCGTAACGGCTGAACCGATTGGGCCTAAATTATTTGTGAAAAAACTCCCATAACTCTAAGAAAAATTTTGAAATTGAAAACAAATCTGCCCAGTAAAAAGTATCCATACAGAAAAATCCTCGAAAGCATGCAAAAAAACGAAGAAAACGTATTTAAAGTTAATTTGATAGCCATAACTGACAACAATAAAAATAAATTTGATATTAAAAACTTACCAAAACTAGAGCTGCGAAGAAAATTTCAAAATGAGGTGAACCCATGATTAAAGGACAGAATGGAACTGTTACTCAAACAGTCTTGATGAAAGCTTATATACACTGATTGTAATACGTAAATACGTACTGCAATTTTAAGCCAACGCCTGCCAACACTAACCAAACACGTACTGCAAAATGGTAATACAGCAGTAAACAAAATGTACTGCAAATACTGAATACATGTCAAAGGCCAATTAACTTTAAAAAAAGTGTAAATCCGCCATTTTGTTGTATAAGGTCCAGCATACTGCAAGCGTACTCCACACATTGTATTGTAAAACTTTAGGGGTTCGGGAAAAGCTTGTAAGTTTTAACGCGAAAAAAAAACTATTAAAAACTTATATTTCATTTATTCTATTATATATGATCAAAACCACGAAAATTTGTATGTCCCTAATACGAATATATATCATAAAACATCATTATAAATAATATTATTTGGGGTTAGGCTTTTTTTCACGCATTTTTGTTCAAAATAATTTCTATGTCAAGATTTTATCACTTTATTTTTAGATTAAGATCATATCTGAGTAAAAGTGTGAATATAATCTGAAATATAATAAAGTAATGGAAGAGATACAAATACAGAATACTGGTAATATCTCCCATATTGATATCTGTTCTTCATTTTACAAATTCAATGGGGGGGGGGGGTCTATCTAAAAAAGTCGTGATGAAGAGTAAAAACACTAGAAAAAAGTTATTTCAAAAAAGTAATATTAACGTTTTTTAAACCTTAAAAACATAAGACAAATAAAAATATGAATAATATCATGAAAAAAAGTTACATACTCTGAAGAAATATTCTTTAATAAGGGTGATCTGGTTACGTACAAAACTTAAATATTTTTTTTAATCAGACCAAATGATAAGTCTACTTTTTGTTGTTTTGTTAGAATTTTTAACTTTGATACATAATTTTTTGACCAAAACGAAACAGAAAAAAATAGTTTTTAACGACCAAAAAGCATCTTGAAAATTCGAGGTTCGAAAAAATTAGAGGAATATGGAAACCAAAAAACAAAACGAAAAATATCCCTTAAACTAAATGGAGAAACACAAACTTTATATTCGTAAAATGGAATAGACTATTGAGATTACAAATAATTGTTTCGAAAAAGTGTATCAGTAAAAAAATAGAATAATTGTAAATGATTTTTAGATCGAATACATATTTTAATGGTTATTAATATTTATTAATATACAATGTTAAAGATATATATTGAAGAATTTGAGTTTCATTTCCTTACTTTAGCTTCAGCTTCCGGTCCGATACTTCCGGTTTTATATTCAATATATCCAGGTATAAAGGATATATTAAAGGGACTGTTAACATATATCCAGGTATAAAGGATATATCAAAGGCACTGTTAACCCTATTCCTGCTGGGGGGGGGGGGGTCAAATTGACCCCCTCTGTAGTTTTTTTTACATAACTCAAAAAGTATTGGTCTGAGGCTGTTGAAATTTTCTGACTTTTCCTACATACCCAAAGCCCTCCCTTTAGGCCTAAAACCGGGCTTTAATACTAACTGCCTGAGTCCTCAGCCACACTGCCTGAATGACTGCTTTTTCCTGTAACAAACTAAATCTTTGTTTTGACCCACTTCCACTTGTCAGATTTTGATAAAATTTAGCTTTTTGGAAAGCCTTTGACAAAAGGAAACGAATTGCACAAGTTTTGCAAAAAAAATTGCTAATTTTTTGCAAACAACCTGTCAAAGGAAATTTGCACATTTTTAGTTTTTCTTGATTAAAAATCAGATTATTTAAAATTTTGCAAAATTTTTTGCCTATTTGAAATGGCATGGTCAAGGGCTTTTCAAAAATGTATAATTTTTCATTTTTTGACAAATTTTTTTTGCAAACATTTTTACTGGATTTTTCGATAAAAAATTCAATTTTTGCAAATTTGCTAATTTTTTTGCAGATTCTAAAAGTAGAGCACAAGAGCTTTCCAATGATGTATCATTTGTCATATTTGGACATCAAAAATGGGATGTCGAGGGGCCGGGGGGTCCAATTGACCCCCCCAGCATATCCTGGTTTTCAAGTACCCCAGCAGAGATAGGGTTAACATATATCCAGGTGTAAAGGATATATTAAATTGTCTGCTCACATATATCCAGGTATCAAGGATATAATAAAGTGTTATGCTCACATATATCCAGGTATCAAGGATATATTAAATAAACACATATCCAGGTGATGTAAATGCCCAACTCCAACAGATACCTTTAGATCAGTATCAATCCAGGTATAACCTTCTGTATCCTTAGGTATCTGTCTTACAAGATACAACTCAATCACGAACTACAGGTAGCTCAATAATACTTTAGTCAATATCAAATCAGATATGAATCTATCAGTATTTCCTAGCCTATATCTATCTTTCAAGACTTAGCCAGATAATTTCTCTAACACCATAATCAAAGCGGAGTATTATTCCAACTAACATATATTTTGAGTTCTATGGTACAGGCTACATCAATGAACGTAATTACAAGTTATACGGAGTTGTTTATAAGCGTAGTTAGGTTTAATCGCAATACAGGTTTGACGTAGTCATTTACAAGCGTAGTTCCGTTACAATGTACAACGTAATTTATCTGTGTTTTCAGGTCAACAAATATAGGGTTTGCTACAATATTTATTACACAGGTAAAAGGATATATTAAAGGGACTGTTCAAATATATCTAATTGAAAAGACATTGACAAATTTTGATTCAACATTTGAAATATTTAATTTTAGATTCTCCATTTATTTGTCCAAATGAAAAGTGTACAGCATTTTCCCGAAGAAGTATAAACTTAAAACTCAAGCTGAGCACTATGTTTGTTTATATTCATCCCTGAAATGCAGTACACTCATTATTTTAACAAAGATATCCAGGTTTTAATTATCAAAGTATTCGACAACTACGATGCAAAACCAGGTTCGTTAAAAGGTTTTTCTATTTCTTGGAATTTTTAGAATTAAATTCATAAGCTAACGGGAATTCTTGATACTGCACGAGTAGAAGTATACAAAAGTTTATGAAGTAATGCACTAGATTTGAAAACTACAGATGTGAAAATTGAAAATCATTCGCGATAACATATATATCCCTTCATAGTAATCCATACTTCCTACTCCCTACTCCCTACTCCCTACCTCCTACTCCCTACTCCCTACTCCCTACTCCCTACTCCCTACTCCCTACTCCCTACTCCCTACTCCCTACTCCCTACTCCCTACTCCCTACTCCCTACTCCCTACTCCCTACTCCCTACTCCCTACTCCCTACTCCCTACTCCCTACTCCCTACTCCCTACTCCCTACTCCCTACTCCCTACTCCCTACTCCCTACTCCCTACTCCCTACTCCCTACTCCCTACTCCCTACTCCCTACTCCCTACTCCCTACTCCCTACTCCCTACTCCCTACTCCCTACTCCCTACTCCCTACTCCCTACTCCCTACTCCCTACTCCCTACTCCCTACTCCCTACTCCCTACTCCCTACTCCCNATGATCTAAAATTTAAATCTGCATTGCAGACTGCAGATACATCTTTAAACATATTCTAGTGAATAATAAAATTGTTGAACCATGTACAGTGTACATTTATATAAATTGTACAATTTTTGAAAGAAGGTTAAAACAATCCTATGACAGAAATATTTCATGAGATTATATTAGTCTAATTTTTTAGGAAAATTTTTTTTTTAAAAGTACAGAAACAAATATTTGTATATCTATCTATCTATCTATCTATCTATCTATCTATCTATCTATCTATCTATCATTCTATCTATCTATCTATCTATCTATCTATCTATCTATCAATCTTTCCATCTATCTATCTATCTATATATATATCCAATATCTATTGAACTGTCTATTCAGTGCAAATTTGAAAATTTACATTGTACCGTCTATCTATTCTATCTACCTTTATATCTATCTATCTATCTATCTATCTATTATATTCTATATATTGCATGACGATGAAACGCAGCAAGGTGTTTCAGTGTTCTAAAAGGTTTAAGGATGAATACTGATACAGATCGTCTCAAAAAACCTATAAAAAAAATATTGCAATTTTTTGTGACAAAACTGCGTTCCCCCTTTTTAGAATAAAATTTGGATAAAAAATAAGCTCTGTAATGGATATTATTTAGTACATTTAAACATGTTTTTTATCTTTAAACAAAACTAACAAGCAAGCCATCAGTAAAGAAATGTGGGTTTAAAGGGAGTGACCGGCAATGTATGGTAGTTGAACTGAGAATTTAGTTTTGTGGAAAAAATTTTCAGAAATCATTTGACACTTTTTTATGGTGCATATTTGTTCAGCAAGAGCGCAAATTCCATCATTAAAATTAGGCAGTGGCGGATATAAGGGGGGTTATTGGGGTTATTTACCCCCCCCTAGAATCCTGGGGGTAAATACCCCCCCCTAGAATCCTGGGGGTAAATACCCCCCCCTAGAATCCTAGAGGTAATTACCCCTGAACATATATTCAGGTCCTGAATAGCAGGGGTTACTCCACTTGCTGCCTCTAGAAGTTACAGTTTACTTCAAAAAAAAATGCATTCCCTATTGATTAGTCTGCACTCAAGTGCATTTTCATGATAGTAAAAGTTTTTGCGGCATTTTGCAGATGCNTACTGCCTTTTTTGTCAATGTTTGCCAGCAAACTTAAAATAAAAAGTTTAGTTAAAATTAAATAAATTCAGTTTTTTTACAGATCTTTGTAGTTAATGTAAAATGGATGACTATCATGAAGGGTATAAAACAAGGTGAAAGCTGAAAGGTATGTAATGAAGCCTTTATTAGATTGAGTTTGTAAATCCCAGAAATGAGTGGAAATTGCAAATCAAACCCAATTATAACCAATAATTTGATATACATCATGATATTTTTCTAGGGGGGGGTAAACAAATTTCTAGGGGGGGGGGGTAAAAAAATTCCGCCAAATTAAAAATTTTTACCCCCCCCTACAGAGTCCTTATATCCGCCCCTGTCGTGAACTGTCCATTTTGAGAA